AAAAGAAAAAAAGGAGGAAAAGGGGAAAAAGAAAAGGAGGGAGGAAAAAAGAAAAAGAAAAAGGGAAAAGTGGAGGGAAAAAAGAGGGGAAAAGGAGGGGGCGAAAGAGATACAAGTAGGGAGAAATAATGTTAAGAAGAGCGGAGGGCAAAAAAAAATAACTTGCCCTTGAGGCAGTCGGTGATTTTGCCCTGCCCGATGATGTACAGCGCGAACGAATCCGCCGCCTTCTCAAACTCCTCCGCCGACTGCGCCTTCTCGATCGCCTTGACGTATGGCTGCAACAGCGCCGTCTCCTTCTTGATCAGATCCTCGCGCGCCTTGCGCTTCTTCTCGGCCTCGGCAAAGTCAGCCGTGGCCTACGACGGTCGTGATAGCTCAGGCGCCTCGCCCAGGCGCGTCCTGCGCCGCGAGAGAGTGGCGGCGCACCACAGGTATCTCGTCGTAGGCGACGGCAGCCGAGGTCGCTAGTTTGCTCGCGAGAATGGAGCTCGCGCCGGCGAGCACCGCCCGACGGCCGGCGCCCGGGACCGACGGCGTCAGTGCGGGAGCGGAGAGAAGCAGGGTAGCGGCCAGCATATGTGCACTGTTGCTCGCGCAGAGAGGTCGGGGAAGGTCCGATGCGAAGAAAGAATTTTCAGAAGGGCCGGGGGGGAGGGGAAACGGACGAAACTGCCTGGGTTGTCCGTTTTCTTTCTTTCTTTTACACTGCGCATGTGCGAAGAAACGCGATAAGAATGAAGACTTACTAGATCTAGGCAGTGCGTCGCCCATCTCTCCCTGGAGAGAGAGAGAGATTTTTAGCAATACCAAACAAATCTAACACTCACACGTCATTTGGGGCCTGGAGCCCTGTTCACGCGCGCGCGAGACGTGCAGACAGGGTTGCCAGGTGAGAGCGAATGGCGCGGTTCACGCCTCGCACAACAGAGAGAGAGATGCGCTCTGCATGGTGGGACATAAAAGAGAGCGAGTACTTGGGCGAGTAGGCCGTGCGGTCGTTGACTGCTCTATTTATTTATATAGATCTAGGCACGGGACTGGCGCGCACTGGCACTAACACGACCCGCTGGGCGAAAGGAGCTCGCAGACCGTTGCAGCCTCACGATGTCGTTGAGCGGAGCGAGTGCGAGCGCGGCGGCCAAGCAGCGGCACCAGGAGCAGCGGCGAGCTGACACGAGCGCGCTCGCTGATGCGGCGAGGGGGCAGAGGCAGATGCCCGAGCTGCCGCCGTACGTGCCAGAATTTGACCTCGCGTTCATGTCTCAGATGCTGGGCGTTGGAGCCGTCCGGTCGGAGCCAGAAGACCCAGCCACTGGCGACGACGAGACGATCATGCAGGAGGCCGCCGTCGACGTTGCCCTCCAGCTTTTGACGGATGGCGAGGGGCTGCAGGCGCTGCTCGCATCTGATGAACCGAGCGCAGATAGGGTTGCGCTGGAGGGTGCCGACAACGCGCTTGCAAACTCGCGTGCGAGGGTGGATCAGCTTTACGAACTGGTCAGGGCGAGCGAGGGAGGAGCGGCGGTGCGCCGCATGGGTGACATCGTCAGATCCGTGTTGACATCGTCAGATCGGTGTTTTTCTCGTTGTTTTGTCGCTCGCTCCGCTCGCCACCTCACGCTCCGTAGTCCGGCCATGGCCAGTACCCCGCGTCTCAGTGAGACGCGGGGTACCATCCAACTCCGGTCGACGGGCTCGAATGCGCTCAGCCTCAGGAGGGACAAAACCGCGCGAATTCTGCACGCCTCGCTGCACCGCTGGCTTGACTGAATCAGGCAGCAGCAGGCTGCTGCTGCTGCCACAGCAGCAGTCTGCTGCGGCCCTAATACGCAAGTTAATGACTAGCAGCACTGCCGGGGGCATACGAGCCGCCAGAGCCGGTGTGCGGCTGTGCACTGCCACCTGCCCGCGGCTACGCACAATGTGCGCTCGCATTGGATGAGCCCTGCTGATGGACCTGCATCGGCTAGCTGCACGAGAGCAATGCCGCAGGCAGTGGCCGTGGCATACACTGCGAGCACACTTGGTGCAGCTGCGAGGTGCAGCAAGAGCACGTCGTTCCTGCCTCTGATGCCACTCTCGCGGCTTGCAGCGCGTCACTCGCGCATGCTCTCCAGGAGCTATGGCGGGCGCGTGTGTGGGGCTGTAGCCTGTGTTTGGCCGGTTCTGACCCGTTTACTATCAGTATCATGTCCGGGCCACAAAAACCGCACACGGGTAGCGGCTCAGGGGCCCAGTAAGTCGCGGAATCGCCAAATGTCACAACCTGCGCCACCCAGGGCTGGACCCAGGGTTCGTGATTTCACATGGAAACAGCGAATCGGTTTCACTTTCACTTTCACTTCACATTTCATGTGAAACGAAATTTCACTTTTTCGAGCGAGTGTGAAGAGTCGTGTGAACGTGATGACGGATGCTCCCACCGAGTTCCGACACTCTGACACTCACTTGCACAGGTGTCTTGGCTCCCAAGCAGCAGCCAAGATGAAGGAGGCTGGAGATATTGGTCTCGCTGAGCTGATGTGTACACTAGACCTATATGAATCTCATGGCATGCTGTGGGCGAATACGGTGCTGATGGTGGGATGAACTCTCTCAGCAGTCGAGAGTCGACTCTCGACGCATCGGGAGGGCGGCCGCGGCGGTGTAGGGGCGGCGGCGAGCTCCCGGTTGCAAATACTCGCCTTACAGTCCAAGATGGCGGCTCGCGCCCCCATCCGCGCACCAGCGTGCCACTCTAGTCCCGCCTGCCGCCCAGATACCGAGGGCGGGGCGCACTCTTCGACTTGGGCTATTATTTGCCACCGGGAGGGCGGCGGCGGCGGTGTAGGGGCGGCGGCGAGCTCCCGGTTGCAAATACTCGCCTCACAGTCCAAGATGGCGGCTCGCGCCCCCATCCGTGCACCGGCGTGCCACTCTAGCCCCGCCTGCCGCCCAGATACCGAGGGCGGGGCGCACTCTTCGACTTGGGCTATTATTTGCCACCGGGAGGGCGGCGGCGGCGGTGTAGGGGCGGCGGCGAGCTCCCGGTTGCAAATACTCGCCTCACAGTCCAAGATGGCGGCTCGCGCCCCCATCCGTGCACCAGTGTGCCACTCTAGTCCCGCCTGCCGCCCAGATACCGAGGGCGGGGCGCACTCTTCGACTTGGGCTATTATTTGCCACCGGGAGGGCGGCGGCGGCGGTGTAGGGGCGGCGGTGAGCTCCCGGTTGCAAATACTCGCCTCACAGTCCAAGATGGCGGCTCGCGCCCCCATCCGTGCACCAGCGTGCCACTCTAGTCCCGCCTGCCGCCCAGATACCGAGGGCGGGGCGCACTCTTCGACTTGGGCTATTATTTGCCACCGGGAGGGCGGCGGCGGCGGTGTAGGGGCGGCGGCGAGCTCCCGGTTGCAAATACTCGCCTCACAGTCCAAGATGGCGGCTCGCGCCCCCATCCGTGCACCAGCGTGCCACTCTAGTCCCGCCTGCCGCCCAGATACCGAGGGCGGGGCGCACTCTTCGACTTGGGCTATTATTTGCCACCGGGAGGGCGGCGGCGGCAGTGTAGGGGCGGCGGCGAGCTCCCGGTTGCAAATACTCGCCTCACAGTCCAAGATGGCGGCTCGCGCCCCCATCCGTGCACCAGCGTGCCACTCTAGTCCCGCCTGCCGCCCAGATACCGAGGGCGGGGCGCACTCTTCGACTTGGGCCATTATTTGCCACCGGGAGGGCGGCGGCGGCGGTGTAGGGGCGGCGGCGAGCTCCCGGTTGCAAATACTCGCCTCACAGTCCAAGATGGCGGCTCGCGCCCCCAAGCATCCATGCTCTGATGTGTCGCTTGGGTCGCCTCTGCTGCTGTGTCTCTGTCTTAGCCAGATATCGAGAGCGCGCGACGACAACCAACCCCTTACCCTAATCCTAACCCTAACCCTAACCCTAACCCTAACCCTAGCCCGAAGAACCCAAAGCATTCACCGAGAGCTCGTGTCGACGGACCGCTGATTCCTCCATTTGGTTTCGGCCCAAACCGGACCATTCTCTTAGGAGCTGCACAACGGCTTGAACGCTCTCTGACCCTAACGCCTAACCCTAACCCACACCCTAACCCTAACCCTAACCCTAATCCTAACGACACGGTGCTTCTTAAGAGGTCGTGCGCGTCGCTGCCGACGCATCTCGCGTGTATGGTGTATTTGCAGTGTATTTCGGCGGGGGCGCGCATTAAAAGAACATTGAGGCAACACTCACGTCCTCGAGCGCCCGAGGACACGAACCAAGCTGCACCTCCTCTCGCTAGAGTTATTGTGGGCTCTTTCCTTTCTACACTTCCTTGCTTTCACCGCGTTTTGATGCAGTGAGGGCGGGCCCCTGCTCTTTGAGCCTTGGGGACGACCACGGCCTTGACCACGGCCTCGCTGCAGGGAAGCAGGAACGCGCGGCATTGGTGGCACAGAGATCCCTACCGGTGCCGGCAGTGGTAGGCACACCGCCGCTCTCTCCGCTGTGCCGCCTCCGCCGCTGCCGCCTCGACTGCTGCCGCCTCCGCCGCTGCCGCCTCGGAGATGCCAGAGCCTTCGAAAAAGTAGTCGAACTTGTGAAATTTTCAGTGAAACGGGGGCGGCCGAAACGTTTCATGTGAAATTCACATGAATTCACATGTGAAAGTGAAAGTGTGAAAATTCACTCACGAACCCTGGCTGGACCTAGTCTACATACTTCTCTCTCTTTCCCCTCATGGTGCGGTATTTTCTTTTATATTTAGCCAATTAATGAACGAATCACAGCTTTCGCACCCCGCCACCGACACAGCTGTCAACACCCCCCTCGCCGCTCCTGCGCCTCGCCGGCAGCGCCCCTCCCCTTTTAAGCCCTAACTCCCCGCCTCTCGCCCACCGCGCCCTCTCCGTGCGCCTCTCTACACCAGGTTGGCTCCGTCCCGTCCTAACGCCACCGGCTTCCGACGTCGGCCGAACGTCAGAAGGCCGAGACCGACCAGGACGGCGCCGAGTAAGCCAACGGTCTTGGCGTCGGCGGGGCGACCTGCGGCCGTCCCGCCCTCTAGCTCCGCTAGCAGGGCCTCGGGGAGCACCCGAGCCGGCGGGTATGCCTTCACCACGTCAGCGCAGGGCAAGGCATCGAGGCCCTCCTTGCCAACCGCCATGGCAGTCTGCGCCTGCTTCCACATGCCCCAGGCACCAATCAGAGGGCACGCCGCGGGCACCAGCGCGCATGCCCCGGAGGACACGCCGCCCGCCATTGCCGCCTTTGCAGCTTGATCGCCGTAGCACTTGGCCAGGAACCTATGCGCAGGGGCACGGGCGTGAAAGGCGCTCCGCCCCACGGTGCCACGCTTGAACCGCGATGCCCACTCACTCGGCCCACTCCGTCTGGTTGGCGGTGAAGTTGACTCCCGGCATCACCTGGACCATGTCTACCGCCGCGCCTGTCGCCGCGCCGGCTATGTCCCCTACTTGACCCCCCGCTGCGTCTGCCGCGCCCGCCACACCGCCAGCCACGCCCTGGGCATTGCTAACGGCGCCACCGATGAAGCCGGCCGTCATATTCACCAAGTTATCTGGTATCCAACCCCTCTCCTCGGCGATGGCGTCATGGTTCTTCTCGTAAATCTTTTTCATGTGTGTTGTCATTTTATCGTAGGTGGCCGTGATGTTGTCAAAGTCCAACTTGTTGAAAGTTTGCAGCATCTCATCCAAACTGATATTCTTCAAATGCTTGTCTACGTGCTCTTTGATCTTGGTGCTGATCTTGGTGTGCGCTTGTTGGACGAGCTGGCCGAGACCGACGAGCCACTCGGGCCCGTCGGAGCCAGCTTCGGAGCCATCTTTGGCGCCTTCTCCGAACGGGCCAAAAAAGGCATCCGCAGGCGCGCAGCAGCAAAGAAGGCCCACAAGGCAGACGCGAGCGCGCATTGTAGGGCGCGATGGACAATCGTAAAAGCATTTAAACAAAAGAATCTTTATCGTAAAAGCAACAACTTCACTCTTGGGTTTCATGCCGTCGTCCCTGGGCAGGGGCCCACCCCGCACACAGCGGGTCCCCAAGGGTGAAAGCAGGTAAAATGCAATCGAATCTGCCCGAGTGGTCAAGTAAAACTTTGCCTTTCGTAAAAGTTGCCCGAGTGGTCTGTGGGGAAAAAACGAAAATCGAGACGGACTTCTTGAACGGCCGGGCAACATGTCTTCCTTACTATTATTAATTGATGCTTTTTGCACGGCTGAGCCCCCCCCCCCCCTAGGGCGACGGCCACTCATTGTCCGAGGAGGGAGCCAACTCGCGGAAACGCTCTTCCGCCTTGTCACAGGGTGGACGTTCACCTCTTCGGAGGCGCGTGGACACACCTCCTCCCAGGGAA